CCTGAAACTCTCAGACTGAAGAAGTCTCTTGGAGGAGAGACGAAACGTTTCATTAGAGAAGAACCCGTCCAGAAAACCTATACAATTTTTTTCTTTTTGAATTGGACATTATTATGTAATATATCAAGACTTAAAGGAGAAATAGTTTAAGGAAACTGCCAAAAAGAAAGTTGTTATTGTTTTATTTACAGGCATTGTTGTGCAAAAGTTTCAGGCAGATGGGGAAAAGATGTAATGTTTTCGATGAGTATCATTTAGCAAATTATAGTCATCTAAAAGAAGAAAAACTAATTCAGAGGCAGCCCTTTTGCTTTCAAAACAGTGGCTCTTGAACTAACTAGATTTTTAAAAGACTTGTCAGGTTTAAAATTAACCAATTCCAGCAAACTTGATTCATGATCTGTTTCTGTAACCATTAAACAATTTAAACAGGAGATTTAACTCTGGGGCTGAAGGCAGTTACAGTGTGAGTCAAACACTCGTAAGACTGAGTCCAGCAACAAAAACAGAGGCTCTCCCAGGCAAACACTTTGGGTTCAGGAAATGCTTAAAAAAGAGCGTTAAAGGCACAGTGTTGGATTTTGTCAATTCTTTTAGCCAAAATTGAGATAATCACTAATGACAATAATAAAAAACATGTCTAATCATTGCAGGCAAAGACCTTGTTTTATTATTTTTACCTTATAAAAAGCTGTTTATATCTCCATGGTCGCAGGTCGCCACTACAGGCAGCCGCCATCTTGTCTATGAAGGCTCATGAAGGACAAACTGCGGTGGCGACGTCAAAAACGGTTTTAGTTGTAATACTATAAATGTAGTATTTGTTTGCTATGTTTACATGCACAAAATTTTTTAATCGGATTGAAATGTATTCCGATTAAATAATCCGAATGTACTGTTTACATGGACACACTCCGATCATGAAAAGTGTTTACATGCACCGGAGTTTTATTCAGAATAAATAAACTGGAAATATTAAAGACAGCAGACAGTTGTCAACCTAGATAATTTAGTGCTGTAGCTTGTTCTTGAAATCAGAAGATGGCACCAGGAATCAGTGCCATCAATTTCAAATCTGGCAGAAACCTTTTTGGTAGGTATCCCATCTACTGGTCCTTTGATTTTTAGAAGTGCTAAATAAATAGTATTGTTGTTTTTATGTTACTTTGTTGTGGTGTATGCAACAGGTCTCTCTTGTAAATGAGACCATGAGTCTCGAGATTTTCCTCTATAAATAAAGGATAAATAAATAATGATGCTGTTGTTATACTGAAAACATAAACTGGGGTGGATAAATGTGGGTTTTCTGAACAGAAAGTAGAGAAATTGCATTTAAACGTCAGGTGTAAATGCTGAGTTCTAGACAATCTTGCTTAAATTGGCTGAAAAAGCCAAAATAAAGTTCTTAAAGCTAAAACAGGCAGAACACTAACTACAAACCAAAGCAGCAAAAGTGAATTACTACCTCTGTGTATTATTTAAAAACTAAGTTCGGCTAATTCTAATAAAAAAATCCAATTGTATCTAAAATTTTCTGTGATGTTTTGTAAGTTTTAACAACACTCGAAGTTTTGGGTCATGTGGTTTTCCTCGGAGATTAATTAGGTTATTAGCAACAAAGGGAATATGGGACTTTAGCAGAGCCTCGCCTGACGGCGTGGATGTTTTGTGTAACCTTCAATAAGAGGTTCTCCTCCCGTCGGATCGCTTTACAGTTTAATGGGATATCAACAAACTGACTACAAGGGCTCTCTGTCTGGGCTTTCAGCTTTCAGAGAATGAAACAAATGTGTCTTTTGAACAAACACGGCAGATACTTCCTGTTGAAGCATTTTTTCTCTCGGCAGCGAAAAACACAGGAGGCCTGGGATGTTTTGGTTGGCTGTTGGTGATGATATCCCTCATCTTCATAGCAGCAACATTCCCACTCTCACTGTTTATGTGCATCAAGGTAGGGTTATTGCAAAAATCTTTGACAAAGATTGAATTAACATCCTATAAACGGCTGTTTCTCTGCGTTGCCGTTTCTGATGTGCAGATAGTGAAGGAGTATGAGCGAGCAGTCATTTTCAGACTCGGTCGGATCCCGGACAGGAAACCTAAAGGACCAGGTTTGTGGTTTTTCAATTAGTAAGTGAACCCGGATGACCTTTGTGATAATCTGGTTCGTTGTTTTTATCTCTTTCCAGGACTTTTCTTCATTTTGCCATGCACTGACACCTTTGTGAAAGTTGATCTGAGGACTGTAACGTATGATATCCCTCCACAAGAGGTTAGTACGGGGGGGTCAAACTCATTTTCACCAAGAGCCACATGATCATTGAGGTGTCCCTCAAAAGGCCACTTATAGTTTACATTGATGTTTCATGTTTAACCTTGACTAAACAGGAAATGTCATGTTCCTTGTGTCATTGTTACGGCTGAGTACCACTAACAATAACTGAGCTCTACGTGGTATTTCCTGCATAGAAACAGCTTTTTAACAGGTTGTCTTATAAACACAGAAAAATATTATACATATGTATGACTGAATAAATGTGAAACAAATAATACAGAAATACCATTAAAATGAAAGTAAGAGTTTTACTCACCGAGTTGTGGTGAGTAGCAGCCATTTTGGATTCTCCCACTTTCTGATAGGGAATTTCCACCGGAGGGGCATTCCAGTTTAAATTTTCAACTTGTAAGTGGGAAGTTCCCACTTTGCAGTACAACAAGGCTGCAGCAAAAGTAGCCAGCAAAAATGCAGATAAATGCTGGCTACTTTTGAACCCTGTGCAGTGCCACCTAGTGGTGGGATGTCAGATTGGCGGGTAAAATAATCAACATGCATTATGTGAGACGTAATTTATGGTCAATGCTAAACAGAAAAACAGATCTCAAAGTGCAACCGTAAAAGAGCATAAAACAGTAATAATAAAAATAAAAAAGTAAATAAATAAAATAATAAAAGAGAAGTGCAAATGCAGCCTACATGTACATTTTTTTGTTTTTATTCAAAGCTAATCAACAATTTTAAAGATAATGAGCTAGTTTTGGTAGAAGCTGAGAGTCATTCTGAACACGTATTTTACATTAATGTCATTTCCAAAATTTGACCAGAACACCTACAAGTATAACTGTGTCCCCTCTCAGTATAAAACGATCTGACTTTCAAACTCTGATGTAAAAAAAGGTGGCAGGTGATATCATGCATTTCTTCCAGAAATTCTAGGCTTTTAATTATTTCTTTACTTCTTTTTCCAGATCCTAACCAAAGACTCAGTGACGGTGTCCGTGGATGGAGTGGTGTATTTCCGAGTCCACTGTCCCATCTCATCGGTGACCAACGTGTACAACGCACACTTATCGACACGCCTGCTAGCTCAAACCACTCTGAGGAACGTCCTTGGCACCAAAAGCCTCTCAGAGCTTCTGTCTGACAGAGAGGGCATTTCAGTCAGCATACAGGTCAGAATAAATGATGGTGACAGATGTAAAGCTGTTAATTTAAAGGAATAGTTCAAATTCATTTTGATGTTTTTTTTTCTTTTTAGTTTAACTACTTCATTCTAACTTTTTTTTTTTTTTCAAGTAGATGTGTCCATTTTGGGCTCTGCGGTACAGATCCAAAGCTAAAAGGAAAGTCTTTCCTAATAAGCTCCACTGACTCAAGTGGTTTTAAAAACTGTTCAGCTGAAGAGGAATGAGTCAGAACCACAAAATGTAGTCACGATTTTTATAAAGTTGCATAAAATGTAAATAAAATGTAAATGAAACGCAGGGCTATTCAACTAAATCGCTCCGGGGGCCGGGGCTACTCATAGCTCACTGCTCGGGGGTCTGACATTTGTATTATTTTTTGTTTTTTAAAATAATTTTGTTGTATTGAAACATATATTTTTAAATGATTTGTAATTATTTTTATATTTATATTAAAAAGAAAAGAAAATGCATTGGTTAAGAGAAGTTATGTCTTACATTCATTTAGAGAAGATTAGATATACTGTTAGGGGATCTGTAAACAAATTCTTTGACATCTGGCAGACATTTATATCCTACGTGGAAAAAATTTCTGCAGGTAACTTTGTCTAATGGTCAAATAATGGTTCTTTGTACACAAACCTGTGCTTTGTATTTACAGATACATGAATACAAGATGTATTTATGTTTTGTTAGCAGATCCGGTATAGGTGGGGAGGAATGGGAGGGTTTTTAGGGGTGGTTTTTTTTTTGTTAGTTTGTTTTTTGTTTGTATTTTTATTAAAAATAATTAAAAAAAACTTTGAAAAAAAAAGAAAAGAAAATGCAAAAAAAATTGTAATAAAATATATATTTTTTGGGGGTGGGGGTAACGGAACAAGTTTTGTCTTGTTTATTTTATTTAGTTGCGTTAAAACGTATTTTTTAAATTTACAAATGATTTAAAATCTATTTTTATGTTAAAGTTAAGAAGAAAAGAACAAACAAATAATAAAAAATATATTTTTATCTTATTGGCGGGCCAGATGGAAGTCACCCATGGGCCAGATGTGGCCTGTGGGCCGCCAGTTGAATAACCCTGATGTAATGGTTTGCAAATCTTCCTAAACCCACATTTTAACCACAGTAAACACATCAAACAAAGAAACTCATAAATGTTTTTAGTGACCTATCAGCATCAGAATCAGGGTTGTATTTACTCTAAAATGAAAATAATGTAAAAACGTCACAGACTTGAACATTTGGGTGCTAATGATCATTACGTTAACGCAGCATTTATTATTTTAGATGTGAAAACAGGTTCTTAAAACCAGACTGGCTGTTTTTCATGTGGCAGGAAACCCTGGACGAGGCCACGGGTAAATCGGGCATCAAGGTGGAGCGCGTGGAGATAAAAGACGTGAAGCTGCCTCAGCAGCTGCAGAGGGCCATGGCAGCAGAGGCGGAGGCCAGCCGGGAGGCCAGGGCCAAGGTGAGAGCAGAGCGGGACTGGAAGATCTGAATTTACAAAAAGCAGGGAGGTTTTTTTTTCCTCACATAACAACTCTGTCTCTGTTTCAGATTATTGCTGCCGAGGGTGAGATGAACGCCTCCAGAGCTCTGAAAGAAGCATCCCTGGTGATCGCCGAGGCTCCCTCTGCTCTCCAGCTGCGATATCTGCAGACGCTGAGCACCATCGCTGCAGAGAAGAACTCCACCATCATCTTCCCCCTGCCTATGGACATGATGCAGAGTTTCATGCAGAGGAAATGAAGTTCTGAACTCCAGTCTTCTGCTCTGCTACTTTACTCCTTAAAGTAAGTTTGTTCTTCGTGCAAGAGGGGAGAAAATACTCTTTGTATTTAGAAATACACCAAAACCTTGCTTTCGTGTACTTATTGTATACTCTTAATCTGATTTAATACGTAATACAAAATGCAACACGTACATTAGAGCCGTTTACCTCTCATCGTTGACCACAATGTTGCAACACTTTCAGCTCTGGAGGAGTGCAAATAAACAAACAAACAAATAAATAAAGAATAATACAAAACAATGTGAACCAAAAATAATTCACAACAAATGATCTTGAGCAGAAATTTCTTGCATACTTGATTACAATCGACAGGCTGAACCAGCCTCGTGACAAAAACTGTAAACAAAAGCTCTTATTTGGACGGTCATTCAGTGGATTTGTACAAGATGGTGTCCACAGGACACAGACACACAATCAGTGCAATCAAAGTACCTGAAAGAGAGGAAGAGGGTTTCCAACCTTCTGCAAGAACCAAACTACACAGAAATATAAGTTGATTATTTAAAGCAGCTACAAATTCCTGTTAGAGCAAACTGATCTCTACTTGTGTCTGAGTAAAGAAATACTGCAATATTATTATTATTATTATTATTATCATACTGTGGTGTTGCTTCAGTGTACTTATATATTTTATACTATTCTTTTAATAGTTCTACCTCCTGCTAACATCTATGATTGCATAAAAATCTTTAAAAACCTTTGAGATGATTAGCTACTGTATGAAAACACCAGAATGTATAAAATTAAACAAAACAAAACTTATGGCAGTTCCTTCCCTTTGATGACTCCTAATTCCTCCCAAATCCTGAGATTAATCTAAACAACGAGGAATGAGGTAAAATTCAAATCATGTTGTTTTTTTTTTCTGCTAGTTTTGATGAACTTAGTAAACATTGTAAAAAGCAAACATAAGCTGTGGAAATCAGGATGATTTTTTTTTCTGTGGTGAAAATAATAAACTTTTAGTGTAACTAACCACTAAATAGTTGCTAATTAACATGCTAGTTCATTCAATCAATTAATAATTGATAAATAAGTTGTTATAAATTCAGAATGAAGTTCTGAGTTTAAAAAAGTTTATTATTTTGGGTGTTTTGAGGCAGAAAACTGTTCTGTTTCTACTTTCTAAGACAGATTAGGAAGGTTATGTTTAGAATTCATAATTAAGAGTTTATTTGTAGAATTAGGTTATTCAGAATAAATAAATAATTTACACTAATTTACGTGTTAAGAAGCATCTAGTTAGTGGTCACTTTGTTTTTCTTAAACTGAAAACACAAATGCACATTTGTGGCGATAATAAAAAGAGCAAAGATTTCCGCAAGCTATGGGTGTAAAAATTTGAGAAAACATAAAAAGTTTTCCTTGTACACAGCATTAATCATTGATTCTGCTGCTAAACTTCTACATGTATACCTCAGGAAGCATTGGAGCAGCTTTGTCTTTTGTGGTTTTGTTTTAATCTGAGTTTCACAAACTGTTCGGGAATTTTCTTCAAATAAACTTTTCATGTTAATGAATCATGAGAATGAACTTGTTGCTTCTTTCCTCTTCCACTCCCTGTCGTCACACGTTAACTAAACTGACAGTTCGTTGCGGTTGGAAGACAAACCATGCTTTAAAAAGAGCAGAAACCTGTACAGATCGTACAATGTTTGCCGATGTCATCATTATTTATCGTAACTTATTGATCCGATGACACATTTTAGATCATCACTATTCTCGAGGACTATTCAGAATTATTATTATTATTATTGGCCACTTTATTTCATTCACCTGTTCAATTGATTAACACTGTTAGCTAATCAGCCACCCATAAAAAACTGAATGTGTTTAGGGTTTAAAATACAAAGTGGTTGTTGGTGTCTGAACATTTCAGAAACTGCTGATCTTTTAGGATTTTCACCCTCCCGTCTCTCAGGTTTACAAAAAAATGGGCTGAAACGAGAAAAAAATCCATAAGATCAGCAGTTTCTGAAACCGTGCCATGCCTAAATCCCCTCTTTCCTATTTTGATACTGAGTTCGGACCACATTTAAACCCCTAAACGCATCGACTTGCTGCCCTTTGATTGGCTGATTAACCGTGCTAACAACAGGATTGGTCAGTTCGATGGCTTGAGTCTTAGATTATCACCCTCACTGCATGAAATTTGCACCTTGAGAGCAAAGAACTGTGGGCAGGTTTGTGATTCGACATAAGAGGCATTGCTGGTGGGGAAAACGAAACGGCTGAAGGCTGCTTGTGTTTGTCGTTGCACCGTTCGTGTTTGCTCTGTTCGTTCGTCGTCCTGTTTGCTGAAAGCTGGAAGATGGAGGCAAAACCCCGGACGCGAGGCACCGGGGACTTCCTGTCTGCTCTCTGACTACAACCAGCAGGTGAAGAACGAGCTCACCGTGGCCGCAGTGCATCTCTTCTGGTGGGGCGTTTGTAGAGATTAAAAAAAAGGCCGAAGGTTTTTTTTTTTTCTCCTTTTCGAACAATCAGAGATGATCAATACAATTCATAATGTCAAAGATTAAAATGTTTGTGGTTTGGAAACGCGTCGCACAGGAAATATAAATTTCCTATTAACTTCTAGTGTCTTTATTAGTTGACCCCTTTAGCTAAAAAGATTGTTTTGTCACAAAATTTGCGCCCTGACAAAAGTCAAGCAGGAGGGGTCATTGATGGTAGGAGTGTGGACGTGCGGGGGAGGCCGGTCCGGAGGGGGCGCGGTGGATGGGGGAGGACGTGGGGGACATGTTGGGGCTCAGCTCGCCTGTCTGGAGACGCCACAGCAGCTCCTCGTTGGTGCGACTCAGACGCTTCTTCTCTTTGCTCTCCTTCTCCACGTGAACCTGCAGGTTGGCGTTCTCTTCAGTGAGTTGCCTGAAGGGGGTGGGGGGTGGGGTGGGGAGAGTAAGAAAATAAATCGTTTGTTCTTTGCTGTATCGGCGAGCATGAGGAGTGCAGAACATTTAAAGTAGAAATGCTTCCTCAGATTTGTGTTTTAGGCTTCAAACCATCTTATTTTAGTTATATTAGAAATAAACAATATGTAATATAAAAATACAACCAAACACGTTTCTTTCAAACCCATATAAAGTGTGACGGTTCACACAAACCTGGAGACCACCAGGTTCTTGTCGATTCGCTCTTTCAGGTCTTCGTTCTGCTGCTGTAACACCTGAAGTTTCTCCTCCAGGTACACATTTTTTTCGGCCTGCTCAAAAACACAAATGAAAAGGTGCAAAACATTAAATTCTTCAGAGGAGGAACGAGGATCTAAAGCAGCAGGAAGCAGGACAGATGAAACTAGACATGGGTTTCTACGATGTAAAAACAAGTGTGCATTGCCATGTAGCATGTCATTGCAGCATGGCTTTGCCTGCATCATTGGACTTACAGAATGAACTTTGACCAAGTTCAAATGTGCTTTCTATACCAGGTTGTGCCGTCACGTCAGCAGGTGTTTGTAATTAAGGTAATTGTGTGACAATGTGAAATTTGAAGAGATTTTTTCTTAAAGTTGAATTGTTGGGTTTTGAACCCTGATCTCCCACATGAAAGTCCATGACATAGACCATTAGACCAATTGAGCTGTGGCAGAAAGTGGTGGCAGGGGTTGGTTTGTATGTGTGTAGAAAGAGGCCACATTGCCAATACAATTATTGACACAAAATGCATAATCTTACAACAATAGAGCAGTATTAAGACAATTTTATAGTCAAACATCAAAATACAATCATTAGTATTGTAAACACTGAACTATTGAGATTAAATATAAAAAAACTATGGTGCAGTACCGAGTACAGCTGGGGGCAGTATTGGACCATTACAAGGCCACATTGACTCCCATTATATGAATTTGGAATAAAGTTGAAACATTATTATTTCAAAAACTACAAGTTGTACAGGTACCAAAAGGCATAGCCATCTTTTGGCACAGGAGCTTTACAGATATAAATTACAATGGCAGCTCTAGGACAAAGTATGCAGGAGGAGAAGCATGGCAAAGTTGAGATGACTTGGATGGGAAAHDRATCACAATAGTGTGCATTGCATTGGCAATGCACACTGATTATCTGAGTTATAACCTTAATGTGTGTTTTAGTTCAATTGGCTGAGATAGCCAGCTTAAATCAAGCTGATCCAAAAGGGAATCTGTTGATACAAAAATGTCTTCTGGTATTAGAACCATACTTTGAGAACCATTGATTTAAACATTTAAATCATTCAATTGGGGTTTTTATAAAGTGGAACTGCAATGCTTTGGTTTGAATTCCTTCTTTTTCTAACTTCATCCCTCCTTCACCCCTTTTCTGATGTGTGCCTCAAAGCAGCTGGCCTTGTCACTGTTCCTTTAAGAAGCTTCAAGCCCCGCCCCCTCCTGCTTCCAGACCGGTCCTCTCCGGCTTGAGAGAGGGGGTTAGCATTTTCTAGCTTGCAGAAATGTTTCATTTAAAGTTCAATTAAAAGATGTCAGCCAGGGAAGACTTGTCCATCCAGCCTTACATGTTGGAGCCAGAATCTGACCCAGAATTAAGATGAGGAAATTGTAGTCGGTAGGTCCAGATCTTCTTTCCGTCGCAGATAATCTGACGTAATAGTTCAAAAAACGTCATAGAAAATAGAGAAAACTGAATAGGTTGAAAACTATGACCCAAAAAATATTAAGATATCTTTGCAGCACCAGGAGAGAGTTTTCTGCACTTTTTAAAATTTTATATACAAAATGTAACACAAAACAACTTGAATCTAATGTAGCTTCGTACTTTCTTGGACCGTAAAGAAGGAAAGATAATAAAAATAAAAATCTTGAAACCTACTATTTTCTCCAGTTCTGAAATCTTCAGCTCCTGTTGATGGATTTGTTGATTCTTCATCTCCAGAACTTCTTTCAGGCTCTTCAGGTCCTCTTCGATGTGTTTATAAGGAGCCAGAGCATCCTGAACAAAAGAAGCAACGTTTCATCTCCCTGCTGTCGTCAGGACTTTACAGAGTTCTGAGTCGGGAAGCGCTCACCACTATCTGCTCGTCTGTGCTCTTACGAAGCGCCTCTTCGAACCTCTTCGCTCGATCTCTGAGGCTGCAGTTCTGAAACGTCAGCGTGTCCACCTGATCCTGGGAAACAAAGACGCTCGTTTACTTAAGTCACAATAAGATGTTAAAGAAGTGTCTTTAAAACAACCGTTAACCTGAAGTGACAGTCTGATCTTCTCAAACTCCTCTTCCAGAGATTTCTTCTGCTGTTCGTGAGCCATCTTCAGATCTGACCATCAGAAGCACAGTTTTAATTCTGCATGGAAAAAGGAAGCCGGTGCAGGATAATAGGTTTTAAAAAGCTGCTTACTTTTTACAGTCCTGGCGTGCTCCTCCTGCAGAGTGACCAGTGTGTCATTGTGGGCCGTCTCCATCTCCATCAGGGACGCGTCATGGTTTTCAGTCATCTCCTCAAGCTGCAACAAAGATGGCAACGTTTTGCTAAAACTAGCACACAACTATGGAGGACCAACACTGACAGAATTAGAAATAAAAACAGAAATGTATAATTGAACCAATAAATACACTTAAAATGCAGCATTTAAATTTAATGTGCATTTTTTTGTCCATGTGCAGATCGACTGTGCATGCTTGTTCTGCCCGGTTCAACTTAAAATTTAGTTTAAAACAAAGGCAAGAAGGAAAACACTAACCTGTGCCTCTGTTTTAAACTAAACTTTAAGCTGAACTGAGGCAGCACTAGCATGCACAGTAGATCTGCACATGGATCCTGCTCCTTCCTGTCTGTTGACCAATAAGAAAGAAGCAGAACCAAGAAGGACCGCCCACCTGATTGGCATAATGAGGCAGAAATGCATAAGTTAATGTAAATGCAGGAAACAGAGAAATGTAAAAGCAAAACATGGAAATAAAAAAAAGAAAAATTCTGAAAATATAATTAAAAATAATCATCTACAAGTAAAAGGAAAAACAAAATATAGATATTTTTAAAAACAGTAAAATGTCAATTCAGTTTTAAAATATACTGTATAATTTATTGGAATCAAGCTGGAAAAATAAATATGAATGTCATTTAAATTATAAACCTGAGGTAAAGTTCAC